ATTCATTGCCACTTATCTTTACCCTCAAAGGGAGAAAGCCTTTACTTTCACTGTTGGTGAGGTGTAATGCAAAAAGCCACATCATCATCTTGCCCCAGGAACACCTCTTTGTGTGCTTATGTGCCAAGTTATTTCATTACACAGACCCTCATACTCTCCCTATAATCAGCACAAAAGACAATTTTCCAATTTCTCAGCATTTGTGTGTCAGTGAATCTAAGTGCCTTTTTTTTTTTTTCCGCCGGGTGTCCTGTTGTATGATGAAGTCTGTGAAAGGTTGATGGAGCGTGTGTGAGAAAATGAACAGAGAGAGATACAAAAAACATGTACTGTCCGTTTGTCTCTGAGCCAGTGAGTGAAATAAACAGCATGAAGTGTGTGTGTGTCCTGGCACGTGTGAGGTGGTGTGTGGGCGTCGAGAGGGAAAGCTCATAAAACCCATGATCACACTGATGAGGTCACGGGGAGTGAAACTGGAGAAAGCCTTTCATTTCCTGTCTCATTCAATCCCGCTCTTTCCTGCTTCTATTCATCCATCTCTGCTCTACTGTTTTTCACCTGTGATGCCAAAGTGTCTCATTCTTTGACCATCTAGATTTTTTCTGTATGTGTCACCCAACACTTATTCACTTTGAATGTGTGTTAAAAATATACATACAACCATACTGAACTGTCACATTTATTTTGAGTGAATAGAGCTGGGTGTATCCTTTCTGTCCTGCAAGTCCAAATTAATGGAAGGTACACACACAGATTTTGCTGAACAGTATGCTTTACCAAAGTGAAATGCTGATTTTAGTCCGCCCCCAGATGTTGTGAGTCAAAATGCAAGTACAATCTTGGGTGATACTTTCAGCATAAATGTGCACAGACCACAAAGAGTAGTTTTCACACAAAACAAATCTGTAGCCAAAGGGAGGTGGTACTGATGTCAGTGGTAACACCTGCTAACCTTAGTTATTTTCTGTTGGAAAGGGGAAAAAACATAACCACCAGGAGAAAGTGTTCACAACACAAGTGCCACAGCAACAGAGACTGACTAAAATCCTCACTTTACTTATACATAACTACTTTCAGATACTGTACTTTGAAAGCAACACATCTATTATCCTGTACTGCCTGTTGCTAATGCAGCTGTTGAGCCGTGTCTGTCACAATTATCAAAGTCACGGATGTGAGCTCACTCTTTCACACTGCTGTTGATAATACTGCAGTAGGAAGTAACACCAAAATATAGAACAGACACCCACAGTCCATTCAACATTTACATTTAGACATACATCACTCTTATGAATGCTCACTGTAAATGTGTTGCCTAAAGAAAATATTTTTACTTCTATGACATACAGTATCTGATACTACAGAAGATGTACAACAGCATCAACAAATGGAAATATATGTGGTAATGCCATCTGTCTGCCCATTCATCCGTTCTTCCATC